CTGGGGAGTGAGGTCCCAGGTATTCTGGACATTCAGCCCTTGTTGGACGAATAATGCGTGAAGACTTTCTCCTGCTCTGCAGCTTGCCTCCCCAGTCCCTGGTTTCCCGGCTCTGCTGAAGCTGTTCGCTCCGTGTCACTCCTCGCGTCTACCCTTCACCTTTGCTATCGCTGATTTTCACCATGAAGTGCTTGATCATCCTCCTCTGGGAGAACCTGACTCCGAGGCGGGCGCCTTCACGCCTCACTTGAGGTTTCCAAAGTCGTTATGTGGCTTTGCTTTTAACCAGATGGGCGATAGGTGGCCTGATTCATAAGCCCTAGGAAGGGGTGCTTCCCACCACTGTGGCCACGATGTCTTTGGGGAGAGCGTGGCCAAGTGCTCTTACTCAGGCAAATGGAAGTCACTGCCTGCAAGAGCGAACACCCGAGCGTGGCAGCTCTGCCCCACGTGGGCTGGCACCCTGCTTTCTGTCGCAAACTCCACTCGGCTGTGCCCCAAGGGCCTCGGGCTCCAGACCTGACTTCCAGAGGCAGAGGCGGGCCCAGGGGCGGGGTCACCGCGTCAGCTGCGCTCTGCCCCAGCAGCTGTGCGGTGGGTGTGGGGTGCGGGGGCCTCGGGGTGTGCATCCAGGTGCACACGCCTGCCGGCTCTCTGAAGAGTGCCGGGCTCCGGAGGGATTCTTCGCAGGAAGCGACCCACCCAGCTACCCTGGCCCCATGGCTTGAAACTGTGACACTGGCCTCTCCAAGCCAGTTCCTCTACCTTAGCCCCTAAGTACAAATCAGATTTATTTGGTTAAATAAAATTCTTATAACATAAAGCTAGCCTCTTTTTTGCTTTTGTTTTTGATCTTTTTGAGACAGGGTTTCACGATGCAGCCCAGATTGGCCTTGCGTTTACTTTGTACCCCAGGCTGGCCTTGAACTCATGGCGACTCTCCTGCCTCAGCCTCCAAGTGCTGGCATGACATGTGTGCACGCCACGCCCAGCTGAAAACTAGTCATTTTAGTGAACGCTTGCGCAGCGGTGACTCTGTCCACAGCACTGCGAAGCATTGCCTCCGTGAGGCGCTTGCTTCCTGCTCCCGTCCCAGCCCTCGGCACCCCCAGCCTGCTTCCCGTCTCTGTGGAACTGCCTGAGCACTCCATGCTGGCGCCCACACGCAGGCTTTCCGCTCTGGCTCGTTGCACTTAGCATGGTGGTTCTGAGGTTCCCTCTCCCTGGAATCCACTTCAGTCTTTTTATGGCTGAATAACGGTCCATTTGGAGCTCTTGTGAATAGTTTTGTTATGAATATGTGTATGCGGTTATTTGTTTGGAGGCCTGTTTTTGAAAAGGCAAAACATTTATATGATCTAAAGGGAAACCAGAATATGGGGGGCTGTTCTTAATTCTGCAGTTAAGTGAGCTTGCAGTTAGCCAGACCTAGTGTCTTTCACGGTCTCTTTTCTCCTTCCACTCAGGAGAAGCAGGCATTTTAATTGATCTTATCACCCACAAAGGAAATTTCGGGAGTCAAATGCATCAGCAAGAATCAGTTCAGCATTAGTAAGCCCACTAGCTCTCCCCGTGCCCTTTATTATTCTGATCAGCATTGTGTTAGTCAGCTTTCCAGTACTGTAACAAAATGCCTGAGATACTGGCTATAAAACAAGGAAGGGTTAAGTCTGGCTGACAGTTTTCGAGGTTTCAGTTTTCACACCCTAGCCAAGAGGCAGCAGCTTCTACCTGCAGGGTGCCCCGTCTCGCATGCGGAGCAGGGTGCACACGGGGACCTGGCCCCGGGCTTTGGGGGCCCACTGCAGTTCTGAGGTGCGTCGGCAGGCTGCACTAAGCAGATGGGTCTGAAATCGAGAACCCCAGTGGGGAATGGAGGAATGTGAGGCAGCAGGGGCTTTCTAGAGTGTTCTTCCTAGAAGAACACTTCTCGCCACCTGGCAGGCAGCAGTCTTCTTTCAGGAAAAGCCCCTGAGATGCAGACCTCCTAGCCAAACACTGGAGAGAGAGCTGAGCAGCAGGCCGTGGGCAGCCCTGAGGGACAGATGCGGTCTGGTACCTGCTGTGTGGCTGCGGACCCCTGCTTACGCTTTGTGCCCTCAGCTCCTGTGGCAGAGGGAGAATCCTCTACGTCAGACTGAGGGCCGCGTGACGTGACTTAACAGCGACTTGTAAGGACGTGACTCAGCGGCGCCTGCAGAGAGCACAGAGGCTCATGTTGCAGCCTCTTCTTCATGACTGGGCCCACTTAATTATTTTTACCCTTGAAAAGAGAACACAGTCGCAGACCTAACAGCATGGTGAGCTGGGTGTGGCACACACACCTGTAATCCCAGAACTCGGGGACGCTGAGGACTGTAAGCTGAGCCCAGCCTGGGCAGTTTAGCACCTTAGCAAAGGCTGTCTCAAAAAAGGTGTGAAGTCCCTGGGTTCAATCCTCAGTATCATAAAACAAACAAAACCCCACCAAGAAGGGTGAGCGTGTCATCAGCCCCTGAGTTTGGTTTAAACCCACTCTCCACTTCTTACGGGCTTCAAGAACTAAGTTACCTCATGCTGCAGAATGGGAGTGTTGCCCTCCATGAAATATGGAGGCTGCTTCGAGGAAAGCAGTTCACGTGGCGCCCAGCACAGGATCAGGAGACCTCTCTGGTGGCATGAGTCGGGTGGCGCCTGACCATGTCCACACCATGCTGTCACATTTTAAAAGCAGGAATCGCTCAGCCTGGGCTCTGTAGGGTGCACAGCCCCACGCGTATTTTCCACGGTTTCTGAAGAGACTCTCGGCTGCAGCCAGGGCGGATGGCCACCCCCTGGCAAATGATATCTACACTGGGGCTTTGAAGCATCTGTCGCTGGGAGAGTCATCAGAGCAGCAGGAATTTTGGGCAGAGTCAAAAATTCACTACACCTGCAGCTCTGAGCCCTTGTTAAGAAATCAGCTGCCAAAGAATTGCATTCCATTTTGTTTGGGGAAAAAGAACAATTCAGAGTCTCAGAAGGAAAGTCCTAAACCAGAGTTGGTAAACAGGTTAGCCTAAGCCTCACACATAAAATACGGAGACTCCCCATAGGCTGGGAGTGTCTGTCTGGGGGTGATTCCAGGGTTTCGGCCTCCCAGGAGGTATAAATTGAGGACTTGAGGGTTTAATGTACAGGAGGAGAAAGGGTTCTCACAGTGACACCTTCAACATGTCGGGCTCACTAATGCCGGGGACAGAAGGGTGGGTCTGTAATGGCAGGGCACTGTGGGGACACATTCTGGTCCCACACTGAGGTTTCCAGTGTGTAAACCAAGCTTGTCAAGAGCCTTCGTTTTCCCCATAGGTTTATGGTATTAGTTACCCAATAAAAGTTGGGTTAATTTTACAACCCAAGTAAAATTTAAGCCAAAAAGGCTTCAGCGTTACTGTAGGATTTATGAAAGTAAACGTATGGAGCCCTTGTAGGATTGGGTGACATTAAAATCTCAATGTCTTCGTGTCAGGTATGTGATGTATTTACTTGTGTGTGGACTTAAAGGTTACATTTTTAAGAGCCTGCAGCACAGACGATCTGGGAGACTAAAACAGAGACGCTTCCCCCATCTTTGCTTTCAAGGATCAGGGAATAGGAACCGCAGAAAATGGGGGGGGGGTTGCTGGACCCCAGTGCTCACTGAGCCCCAGGGAGAGCCCCAGGGAACCCAGCACCCCAAAGCTCACTGAGCCCCAGGGGGAGCCCCAGGGAACCCAGCACCCCAGAGCTCACTGAGCCCCAGGGGGAGCCCCAGGGAACCCAGCACCCCAGCGCTCACTGAGCCCCAGGGGGAGCCCCAGGGAACCCAGCACCCCAGTGCTCACTGAGCCCCAGGGGGAGCCCCAGGGAACCCAGCACCCCAGCGCTCACTGAGCCCTAGGGGGAGCCTAGGACTGTGCTCTGACTGTGGCCCACTGCACTGAATCAACATCTGTCTTTTTGCCGCGTGTCCTCTTAGGTCATTGTAGGTACTTTAATGAGCATCTGCATATGCAGGTGGGTGTGCAGGCATCAGAGCCTTACCTAGCTTGGCAGGGCTGTCGTGGCTGGCACCTTCCAGGTAGAGGGGCAGTTCCAGCACAGGGATAAGGAAACTGCGGCTCTGTGCAGAAACCCCAAGGGCAAGTGGACTTGCTGTGTGGACAGCACCACAGTGGGCAGGGCAGGGGCACCCGCCCCCAGCCACATGGCCACCTCTGGCGTGGCCTCAGGTGGATGTCCAGAGCTTGTCACTCACTGTAAGCTCTCTGGGGAGGTACTGGCCCGTGTCCTTCCTGGCTGGAGTGCCATTTGGGTCCTGCCCTCCAGCCCCATCGCTTGTCACTGCCATGAACTGTGTCACACTCCAGTGCCCATGTGTCTTCAAGATAAAAATCTATGTCCCTCTTTTATCTAACACTGTAATTTTGACGCAATAAAATGTTAACAAGACTTTTTGAAAACCTAAGGGGATTCCCACAGACTTTCTGGTGGCTCAGAGTCAGAGGGTCTCAAGCAGCTACTGTGCCTGTTGGGGTGCCGCTGGTTCCTTCCCAGCCTGTGGGTCCTAACTGACACGTCGCTTGGAGTGAGCCTGGGCTGATGCACCCGTGCCTTCGCAGCCAATGATGCAAAAGTAATCTGTGCTTAAAACAAAAAATTGCAGCACGTGAGTCCAGATTTCAACTCATTTCCTCTCCCCTCTTACAACGACATCATCTTCTAGCCCACCACCAGCTGCGAAAATAAAAGCACTTTCTCCCGTACTTAGGGACCATTCTGTGCCTCAGGATGGTTTTCTGGGGGCGTAGGAAGCCAACATGACCCGCAGATGTTTGAAGCGATGTGTGGAAGCTGAGCAAAGGCCTGGAGGCGCCAGCGCAGGGGCATAGCATCTGGCGCGCGACTGCGCCCCCTGGCGGTCCCTTTGGGTGTCGCACAGGGGGTGTGCAGGGACCGTGCATGGGGTGGTGGCTAACGGCTCAGCTCTGCTCTGCCCTTAGAGACGAGTTCGAGGAGGACGGGTTCTGCCAGCCATACCGAGGGATTGCGTGCGCACGCTTCATTGGCAACCGCACTGTCTACATGGAGTCCCTGCACATGCAAGGAGAGATCGAAAATCAGATCACAGGTGGGTAACGCGGGCGAGACGAGGCTCAGCCCCAGCACGACTCACCCCACCCAAGTCTAGCGGAGGCGAAGCACCAGGCTGGGCGCGGGGGCTGCGAGCAGGACCAGAGCGACGCAGGAGACGTGATCTCCGAGCTCTGGAATTTATATTAAAATAATTTACTGAAGGTTGCTCTTAGAGGAAAAGGAAGCTTTGAGAAATCTCACATTCACTCAAACACTCAATAAATATTTTTGAGTACTTTCAGCATGGCCTGGCCCTGGGGGAGGGCCTGGTGATGGCCAGGGCTGCCCCGCCCTTGCGGGCTCATGGGCTGGAAGCAGCACTCAGCTCTAATTCCAGAGCCTCGGTGCCCCACGGGAGAGGCCACCTTGCGCAGAAGGCGTCTTTGCTTGGCCCTCTTCCCGCTGTGACGCGCCTGTTCCACCTTGCCGAGCTGTTCCCTTTGTTTTCTTCTTTAAACTTCATTTTCTCCTGGTAGAAGTGTAACAGTGGCGCCCTCTCGGGCACCCGGTGCGGCAGGGCAGCCACCATAGACCTGGGCCATAGCGGTCCTGGCCCTTACCTGAGCGTGGTCACCTTGTCCCAGGGTCATGGGCCCTTTTGGGTCCTTTAAATCATACCAGAACCTGCGAGGTGCTAGTGGGGTCCCCAAGCAGCCGAGACTGACGCAGGATGCCTGGCTCCGCCTGTGCCTCTGGTGGGCTTAGCGAGTGCTTCCTTCCGGTCAGCCGCTGTAGTAGCGCTTAGCAGAGAAGAACCCAAGGCAGGGACGTGGAGCAGTGCAGAAATCAGCTGGGCTCCCGAAAAGTAGGGAGCCATCAGGGCTGGGGGCACCCTTTCCCTGACCATGACCCCTGCCTGGCCAAAGTCTGGCTGGGCGGAGCCTTTGACAGTGCCCTTTTGTCCCAGTGTCCCAGTTTGTGGACATGAGCTGCCTGCTGTGCCTGCTGCCAACATTCCCAAGCAGGTTTAGCCACAGTGCTTCGTATACTGCCAGTGCCATTCTGTAGGACTACGCCCCAAAACACACCTCGGGGAGCGCTGTACCCACACACCCAGGGCTGCCGCAAGGGCAGTGCAGGAGGGCCAGCTGCAGGACCAGACTGTCCAGTGTGTGGCCCCGGGGCCCGGTGGTACCTGCTGGAACAGGCAGCGTGGGAAGGTCCACCCAAGCAGCCTCATTCTCAGCGTCCTGCAGCCCAGCTACCCCCGCCCGGCCCCACAAAACTAATAAAAAGGGCCGGATGAGACAAAGAGTTCCAGCGCTTTGTAGTAAAAAATGAAAAATAGATTGTGCTTTAACCTAATTAATTATTTTATTAGGAAACGGTACATATGTAATCTTATCCTGTTTTGTTAACTTTGTAGTCAAAATGAGTTTTTGGAGCCAGGGAGAGCTAGCTGCTTAGACATCTGAAATGTATCCCCTCCCAGCCCCGCGGCCGGCGGCAGATTCCTCCCGTCGAGGAGGGCCAGTCTGCGGCCCAGTGGCCTGCTAATCACCCGCCTTGTCTTTCAGCTGCCTTCACCATGATCGGCACCTCCAGCCACCTGTCTGACGAGTGTTCGCAGTTCGCCATCCCTTCCCTGTGCCACTACGCCTTCCCCTACTGTGATGACACCTCAGCCATCCCGAAGCCCCGCGACCTGTGCCGAGACGAGTGTGAAATCCTGGAGAACGTCCTGTGTCAGACGGAGTACATCTTCGCAAGGTCCAATCCCATGATCCTCATGCGTCTGAAGCTGCCCATCTGTGAGGACCTGCCCCAGCCGGAGAGCCCCGAGGCCGCACACTGCATCCGCATCGGCATCCCCATGGCGGATCCCATCAATAAAAGTGAGTGATGTCCCTGACCTCCAGGCGGCCTTGAGGGGCATTGGTCCAGGACATGGTGCAAGGAGACTGTGGGTGGATGGTCAGGGTCACCGTGGGACACAAGGGTGGCAGCAGCTCCCCTTCCCATGGGCTGTGACCACGGCCCTTGTTCATGGGTTCCAGATGCATTAAGAAGCTTCCTGAAGACAATTTAAAATGCACGGTTGGGTTTCTCAATAACTTTGACAGAATTCCCACATGACCCGGCAGCTCTGCCCTGAGAATAGAATCAAAAGAGTTGAACACAGGCGCTGAGACAAAACCTCACTATCTGCAGTAGCTACAAAGTTAAAACAACCTGACTTCCATCTGCAGGGACAGAGAAACAAATGGAGCTATGGCTACACAAGGGAATATTACTTACCCATAAAAAAGAAGGGAAGGTGGCTATGTGCTCCACCTAGAGGAAGCTTGAAGGATCTACATGAAGTGGGTGAAGCAGTCACTCTTGTTTTCCAGGGTCCAAGTCTGGGAAAGGTAAGGGCAGCAAACTCCAAGACAGCAGAGCAGCTGGCCACCAGGGCCGCAGGAGGGTGGGAGTGACTGCTCAGCAGATCCTGGGTGAGAGAAGGCTCTAGGACCCAACAGTAGTGACGTCGACGGACGCTGTGAAGGCCTGCTAATACAGCTTAGGGACAGTGTACTGCCTGGAATTACAATGAGAGCACGCAAGGCTTCCTCCGCGTCTCCCTTCTCACACTGCCCGAGACTCCTCAATCATTTCCCGTTCAGCGAGAACCAAACTCCTGTTACCCATCTTAGTGTCCCTTGGGGGATAATACGACCTCATTCATTCACTGCTGCCCCCGAACTGCCCAGAACCCCGGCTCTTGCTGTCATCACCACCCTCCAGACTCCAGTAGGGCTGCAGAGCTGTGAAGTTGAACCCGTGGTACCGGGAGGGCTGTGCCCACGCTGCCCATGTCACCAGCAGACACCTGACTCCCGGGAGGACCCTACAAAGCCCGGCTGGGAATCGCCAGCCCGCATCGCCGACTTCCCATCCTCGGAACAGAAGGGAAAGATGGCCTGAAGCCTCCTTGGAGCGTCCGCTCCCCAGGACCCTGCCACTGCCCTGTCCCCGCCGCCCCGTGCTCACCGCTGGACGCCCTTGCCACGGCTGCTCCCACGGCAAAGCCGACCTCTTCCGGGCAGTGCGGCAGCACCCAGCAGGCGGCGGCCCCCGGCCACGAGGCTAATCGCGCCCCCCTCTGTGTTTTCAGATCACAGGTGCTACAACGGCACAGGCGCGGCCTACCGGGGCACTGTCAGTGTGACCAAGTCGGGGCGCCAGTGCCAGCCGTGGAACTCCCAGTACCCCCACACGCACACCTTCACCGCCCTGCGCTTCCCGGAGCTCAGCGGGGGCCACTCCTACTGCCGCAACCCGGGGAACCAGAAGGAGGCGCCCTGGTGCTTCACGCTGGACGAGAACCTCAAGGCTGACCTCTGTGACATCCCGGCGTGCGGTAAATACGGGTCGCCGCCCCTAATGTCTTTGGTCCTTTTTCTTAGGGCTCCCACTGTCCTGGCCCGCAGAACCCCACGAGAGGAATTTCATCGCAACTGCGGCTCTTCTTGCGCACGTCCTAGCACCGGAACGCAAGGGAGGGCCCCGAGCGCGCTGCCAGGGCGGCTGTACCCAGCAGCCTTTGCGTGGGGAGCGACGGGGATGCAGGGGGTCGGCACGGGGCTGCCTGCGGAGACGGCGCAGGGGTGGTGCGTGGCCAGCAGCCCTCGCACACCGCAGCCAGCCTGGAGGCGGAAGGCAGGCAGCTTCCTGTGTCAGGCCACACGCATTGCTCCGCAGTCCAGGCTGAGTGTGGGTGAACCGAGCCCCTGCCTCCTGCTCTAGCTCTGCAGGGGGGCTGTGGGCGGCGGGAAGACCTGGAGCTGCTGAGCCGGGCGCTCCTCCACCTAGAAGGTGTGCAGCAAGCGAGGGGAAGCGAGCGGAAGCGTTGCTGAGACCTGGGCTTGGAACCACTTTGAACCATGCGTCCTCCCCGTCCTCGTGCTTGCAGACGCGGCTGTGCGCTCCCCATGCACGGCAGGGGCCCGGGCCCCGCAGGAGCGCGGCAGAGGCTGCATTCGCAGGGCGCACGGGGCTCCCCAGTTCCAGGCAGACGACTGGGCCTCCAGTGACGCCTCGCCACCACGCAGTGACTCTGTCAGCACCGGCTGCAGGCCAGGGCTGCTCATGCATGCACAGGGTGGCAGGGCCCACGGCGCGAGCCCAGCGCCTCTGCGGAGGGCTGTGCGGCCCTGCGTGAGGAGGATCGTGGGTCGCCGGTCAGTGCGGTCAGGCTGCGAGCCACAATCCCTCGGGGCCTGCGGGCCAGGGTGGCACCGCCGCTGCCACCTAGTGAAGCAGTGTTCCGAGCTAGGATGGGCTAGGTGTCCGCAAAGGGGTCCAGGGAGGCGCCTGAAAGGCCAAGGACCGGAGCGCTCCCGTGCGGCCGCTGGACCCTCATTTGGCTGTAGCAGCTGTGTCCAGAGTAGAAGCTCCTGCTCCGTTACCAGTCATGCCTCGTGTACAGATTTTCAAACAAATACAAAAATGCCGTCCGGGTGCAGCCATGCTGGTCCCCATGCTGTGACGCAAGACAGGGGGAGACTGGCTCGCTGAGGGGGAGACTCGCCCCTGGGTTGCTCAGGACGGCACTGTAATCCCACAAATCAGTGCAGCGATGGCCACGATCCTCAGATAGATCTGAATTACCAGTCTGCGGGAGACACAGTTAAATTTCTGATAACTGGTTAATTCCAGTCATATGAGCAAAAAATTCAGGTGAAATTTAAATCTAAAAAAGACAAGGCAGGTTTTACCACTTAGAGTTTAAAAAAAAAAAAGAGAGAACATTTTCATTTCATTTTGAAAGACAACAGTTCTTGAATTCTTCAAGCCAAGCCACAAATGTGTCCACTAAAGGAGGAGGGAATCCTTGACACAAGATCAGTTCAACGCTGGTGAGAGGCCAGCAGCTCCCTGGAGAGAATGTTCTAGAAGATGGGCATGGTCTGCGCTGCCACGCCTCGCGAGTCCACCTGAGCATAGTCATCACGGTGGAGCCTACTTCTGCGGCTTCCACATCGCGTCTAATTTTCTTTTTTTCCGCTTCATTCCACATGAAAAGCATATAAGGTTGCGTAAGAATTTCCACACTGTTTTGCCACATGAAGAAGCCACAGACAGCGCCGCCAGCTAGAAGCCAGATCTGGGTACAAGGCTGTAGCTCTTCCTTCTGCACTGGCAGCCCTGAGCCCAGGGCCCCGGCAGCTTCTGCAGATGCTGAGGCCCTCCGCACAGGCGGGCAGGGGTGCAGGAGGTGCCTGTGTCTGAGGCAGCAGCCGAGGGCGGGCACTGCACAGCCCGGCCCAGTCATCCGGGGCGCCACACGGTCGGCCGGGTGGGGAGCCCTTCCCCTCACTGCTCAGCTGCGGGCTCCCCAGCACGGATGGCAGCAGGCAGAAGCCGCCGTGCACAGGGGCTTGCAGTGAGCTAGAGGCTGTGCTAAAGCAATCATGAATCACCGCGGGAAGAAAGGGTTCCCTACCCCTCTGAGCAGGGTTTTGTTATGCCCATAAAAGGAAACTGAGGCTTAGGGAGGGTAGGTAACTTTTGGTTCATAAGCAGTGGATCCGGGACCCAAACCTGAGCCAAGGTTTAAAGTGTGATTTGTGTGCACATATGGTTACATGGAGGGCTGGAGGGGAAGAGGGAGGCCGAGGGAGAGACGCTTCTGCATTCCTGGGCTCTTCCGTTCCGTCAGAGTTAGGGAGCTGTCACACTCACTGGGGGCTTATCTTCCTGCTGACAGCGTTTCAGTCAAGTACCGCTGAAGGAAGTACAGACCTAATTAAATAGAGAATGGGAACCTCACTGCCTCTTCTAGAGTAAGAATACCTGCGAGCAGTCTGCAGCAGCTTCCCTGCGACCTTAAGCTCTAGAATAAAATATAAAGTCAAGCGAAGCCTGCGAAGCCAGGAGATCCGCTCCACTAGGACAGCGGCATATCCAGAAAGTGCTCAGGCAAAGTGGGAAAAAGGGCACAATCTCGTTTGTGGGAGACCTGGCCCCATCTTTCAAGTCTGGGCATCTGCCCTTAGAATATTACGACAGTACATTATCCAGGCCCTCCTAAAGACAGAGACTTACTGAGTCTCCCGCTTTGTGGACCACACCCTCGTGGCGCTTACCATCTGGAGAATCCACGCACCAGACTGAGTCACACCGCTGCTGTCGAGTCTGCTGTGCCTGCTTTGGGTTGTATCGAGAACGGCCCCTTGCTGAATACCATGCTGAGCTCTTTTTTTTTTTTTTTTGGCAGTACCAGGGATCAAACTCAGGACCATGTGTTTGCCAGACAAGCGCTTATGTCGCTGAGCTACACCCCCAGCCCCCGTGCTGAGCTCTTTATAGCAACATCCACCCAGGACTCAGCTGGCATTTAATGAAAGGTGTTGGGCTGGTTGATTTAATCCTCCAACGCCAACTGCCTTCCTCTTTGCCATGGGCCATAGTCAGCATCCGTGCTGCCTCTGCTAGGGCCAGGGTCCACGGGTCTCCAGGCCCTGCCCTCTGCCCACCGCACCCTAGCTGCAGAGGCACCGATGCTGGGTATCTCAGAAGAACAAGGATGCCTCTGTCGCTGTCCTGTCCCCCTGATCGCCAGGTGTCCTGGGCCTGTGGCGCGCTATCCGTCCGTCAGTAGTCTGCTCTGCAACTCTGAGGATGCAGGCAGGATCTGAGCCGAGTCCCACCGCTGCCCCCTCTCCTCTGTCCTCAGCCGCCCATCCTCCTTCACCTGTAGCCACTGCCATCACCCTGGAAGCCAGGTACCCTGGCCTGGGTAAAAACTCATTGAAGAGAGAAAATTGTGGCACTGTTCTTCCCAGCCAGCCTCTGGGACGGTCACTTGCTCCTCCTCTTCTTGGACCCTGAGCACCAGCTTCTCTGTGAGCTCTTCTCACAGCGCCTTACTGTTTCATTTGGGCGTGTGGTGTGCAGCTTCCTTCTCCATTCTCCTCAAATTGAGGGGCGCTGTTTGCTCCCTGAGCTGTCTGGGGAGCCAGAGTCCTGCTGGCTTGCTGCCCCATGGTCCCAACACAACCTTTATTTTACTTGATCAGATCTATTTGGTCAAAGCGTCATCTTTTTCTCCTCCAAGGCCAGGCTCCTTCTCTACCAGAAACCCGAACTCGTGAGTAGTAGTGTTCCTCTCACTCTTAGACCAGCTTCACCCATGGGAACCCACTGATAAGAAAAGCAGGGACCCTGTGCCTCCCCCGGAAGCTTGGCTCCTGGCCCATCATGCTTGCATTTCCTTTGAAGACCCTGGCTGGCAGCAGTTTCCCGAAGGGCGCGTTGCCGCGTTCTGTGTCTGAGCAGCCTTGACTTGTCCTGTAATCGTACAAGCACCACTCCAGGCTCTGCTTTGTCATAAGCCATTTTCTGCACACGGTGCTTTACAGTTTGGGGCATGGCAGATGTTTTCCAGATTGTGAATGCTGCAGTTGTTAGCTCGCCGTCAGCAACCTTCTCCCAGCTCTGTGGAAGACTGTTGTAAAGCAATTTGTCTTTCAGCCATTGCTTCAAACCAAAATTGAACATTACAGGGAACCGGAAGCAGGGCGAGGAAAAGAAAGAAGGACTAGAGCAGCGCTTTCCATAGTCTGAAGCACTCTGGAAGAGGCATTTTTATGCTACGGAGATTTCCAAACTGTGCTTTCAGGTCCAGTCTTTACGTATTTTCAACAAAGTAAAGAACTATAATGAGCCAAAACTTATAGCTAAGTTATGAACCATGAATATTTTTAACCATAGAGTAATTTTCTTTTAAATTTAAGTTGTCCTCACGATATATCAGCCACTCACTTAGTGGTAGGTTGTCGGCCAATAACTTTTGAAAGCTTCTGACTATGGGCCACCAAAGTGCAGGATGTCACCCAACTGGACTGGACAATGGGTGACAGAACGCTGATGCACCCCACAATGGTTGCTGTTGGCCAGCATTGTGTCAGTCAAGTTTCCAGCAATTCTGTAAAGAAGGGATCTAAGAGGCGTCACTTGGGGAACCCCTAGTGCAGGGCTTGATGGACTGAAACAGAACTGGAAGGAACCATGCAAGCCGCAGCATGGCCAGGTGTCTCCAGAGACGCGGCAGCGGATCCAACAGATGGGATGTAGGCCACCTCTCGGAACGCCGCCTTGGGGCAGGAACCAAAGGTCACACGTGAAGCCCGATTGGTTCTTTAATAGTGAAACTCCCAATAAGGAACACGTACACACTAGGTCCAGTCTCAGCTCCCACGTAACTTCTCACACGATTTGGAGACATCTGTGACCTCCTGGGATTTTTCTTTTGTTCTGAAAAGCGCATCCCCACTCCTGCTTTTCCTTTCTCCATTTCCCTGCTCAGAAGTTTTACTTTTTCAAAATCCTTCTTTAAAATGTCAGACACCTTCTTAA